GGTCAAAGCCTCATGTCTTGTTTTTAATCAGGGTCCAGTCCTTCCTTTACTTTGCGAACGCAACAGGAGTTGTCATTCAGCAAGATCTGGAGAGCCAAAATTTCCCAACCTCTGCTCTAATAAGGTCTTTTTTTTAAGGCTTCCAGTTCACTTTGATGGAGAACACATCCACACACAAAATAATGCATTCACAGGCATGCACTCAGAAATTTACCATGGTTTGAAGAGGACTGGAAAAAATTTAAGGACTACCTACAAAAACACTACAAGTTATATGAATGTTGAGAATTTGCTAAGTTTTTTGGGAAAAACATGCTTCAGTATTGAGATTTGAGAATGATGGAAACTAAGTTATGACTGTGAAAACTTTAAATTTTAGAATATATAATTAGAAGAAAGTACAAAAACATATGAAACAAGGTTGCAATTTGCTGTTTATTTTTATTGTAAAGAAAGCAGGGACGGAGGATCTGGGGAAGTCTAGTTGATTATGAAAAAAGATCTGGAAAAGTGAATTTTCTTGTATACAATCTCTTCTTTTCTTTTTCTGTAAAACCGCTTTTGTTGTGCTATTGATGATGTATCTTGACCTTGGAAAAAAAGCAATAAAAAATATTATATAAAAAAAAAAAGAAATTTACCATGGTTTTTCCACTTGGTAATATTCTTGGTGTTGACGTAATTTACAAATCCAAACTCTTTAAAACCTCCAGTGGGACTTCACAGTTTTCCCTGTGGAGTTAACCATGGGTCCTTAAACTTTTTAAACGGGGGGGCGGTTCACTGTCCCTCAAACTGCCGGAGGCCGGGATATTGTTTTTAAAAAATGCATATTTATGCAGAAGTCGCTCCCCTATTTTTTACTCAAGAGTAAACCCGTTGACATGAGTGGCCATGCCTAACCCGGGTCCATTCATTCCAGCGGGCCTGCCCTCTGCATAAAAGTTAAGTTGACATCACGTCCCACCAAAGCACAACAACTGGGTAAGTGCGCACCACGCAACGGTCACAATATTGGGCAAGGTCTCTGTGTGCATAATTGCTGGCTCCGTGCAAGCGCCACACAAATCTTGCAACAATCATCTCCTCTGCTTTGCCGCAGGGAGACGGGAGAGCAGCCCTGCACCTGACACCTAAGCCCAGTTTCCTGCAAATGTGGCAGCACCTCTTCCTCACCCAATTCGAAGCTGCGCCAGCGTCACTGCCTGCCCAGAAGCTGCGCCAGCGTCGCAGAAGTCAGTCCCCGTGCAGCGAGGTGTCCACAGTGGCCGGGGACTGACTGAGCAGGTGGCAGAGTCTGCGGGCCAGAATTACAAGCCAGGGGGCTGCATCCGGCCCCCGGACCATAGTTTGCAGACCCCTGGAATTACCGTAGCTCTCCCCACCCTGCCTGGATTGGCTCAATATATTTTAAAAGAAAACATAACCGGATTCTATTAAAACTTATTTTGTATTTCTCAAATAGCATTTAGGGGAAGAAAGAATAAAAAGGCTGGTTGAACTCTGTAGGTTCTCAGAAGGCAATCAATGCATCTTGTCAGTACAGTACTGTTAAGCAGAGTAAACAGTGGAGAGGCTGCTGTACAAGGAAATAGCTTTCTGGTTTCTGTTGAGCTTGTAAGTTTTGTATTTACAGTGCCAGGAGATCTAACTGTATAAAGAAAGCAATGATGACAACGAAGGAACAAAACACAAGGTCTTTGAGACACAGCATGGAACACCACATGCCAAACGTGATGGACCTAAATCAGGGGTCCCCAAACTAAGGTCCACAGGCCAGATAAGGCCTGAGGGACTCGTTTATCTGGCCCGCAGCAACCCCTGCTGCCGCCGCCCGCTCTTATCAGCACTGCGCTGCGCGGCTGCCCACTTCCGGGTTGGAGGAGCACCGAAAATAGTTTGTGCGCATGTGCAAGCATTATTTGCGCACGTGCAAGCGTTATTTCCGGTGCACATCCATGTCGGAGGAGGTGCTCCTTCAACCCAGAAATAGCGTGTGCGCATGCATAAGGACACACGCTCCCCTGCCCTCCAGCCCAACGCATGCTCAGCGCTGGAGACACTGGCCCGAGGTGCGGTAAGTTTGCTGACCCCTGATCTTAATAAATCACATATGCCATATTGTAGGTGGAAATGTATAAATTAAATTCTGACAGAATTAAATGGGTAGTTAAAGATGAAGAATGATAAATAATCATGTGCTCCCTCTTCAGCCTAGATCTCCTAGCCGACTTTGGAGTTAAGTCTGATGTTAACCAGTTCCAGTTTGTAAAGATGTGTGCTGGCTTATTGGATCGGAAGAACAGGAAAATGGGCAAATTTAAGAGTGCATTAATGTATGACCTAGAGAGCCTTCCAGATGAAGTGTGCTTACATTGAAAATAGGCACTGGAGGCAAGTCTCTTGTTTCCCTCTGCCCCTCAAAGGTTTGTTTGTCTGGTACATCCTTTTGGGAAGAATGCAGCTCCCAAAACAACTAAACCACACATACAAGCTGGTTTGTACATTGCTATTAGTTCATTTGGATAAGTATGTAAGAAGCGTCATGTTGAATCATCTAGTCCAGTGTTTCCCAAACTTGGGTTTCCAGCTGTTTTTGGACTGCAACTCCTATCATCCCTATCTAGCAGGGGTGATGGGGATTGCAGTCCAAAAACAGCTGGGGACCCATGTTAGGGAAAAACTGACCTAGTTCACCTAGGTCCAGCATCCTGTTCTCACAGTGGTCAACCACCCAAGTTGGTGGTCACCACTGCCTCCTGCAGATGGCGCTGTGGTCTAAACCACTGAGCCTCTTGGGCTTGCTGATCAGAAGGTCGGCAGTTCGAATCCCCACAATGGGGTGAGCTCCCATTGCTCTGCCCCAGCTCCTGCCAACCTAACAGTTCAAAAGCACACCAGTGCAAGTAGATAAATAGGCTGGAAGGTAAACAGTGTTTCTGTGCACTCTGGCACTTGTCACGGTGTTCTGTTGCACCAGAAGGGGTTTAGTCATGCTGGCCACATGACCTGAAAAGCTGTCTGTGGACAAACACCGGCTCCCTTGGCCTGAATGAGCGCCGCAACCCCATAGTCGCCTTTGACTGGACTTAACCGTCCTTGGATCCTTTTCCTTTACCTTACTGCCTCCTGTGGCAGCGAATTCCCATAGCTGAACTATATGCTGTGTGAAGGACTAATTCCTTTTAATGTGAGTGGGTGGTGCCAGCAGCAGCAGTCTAGTGCCCTTGCCATTACTTTTCTGATTCTGTTACATTTGCCTGAGGTGAGGGGTTAAGTTCCTTTCATTGTTAAATTAGTTCTCCTTTCTTGTTGAGCTGCTTGTTGAGGGCAACTAAGGAGGGGTTGATGTTGCTAGACTCCCTTCAGCTCCAGCCATCGTGACCACAGCAAATTGCTGTAATTTCCTATGTCCTAGCAAAGTCATCTATGAGTTCATATCCTTATGTAGCCAAAACGGCACTCAAAGAGGGAGGGATCCGCTCAGCTGAAGTTGCTTATAGAATCAGAGTTGGAAGGGACCATGAGGGTCATCTTCTCCAACCCCCTTCAATGCAGGGATCTTTTTGCCCAACGTTGGGCTCGAACTCACAACCCTGAGATTAAGAGTCTCATGCTCTTAATTATGAAGATTATTAAGGAAGGTAAAGGTAAAGGGACCCCTGACCATTAGGTCCAGTCGTGGCCGACTCTGGGGTTGCAGCGCTCATCTCGCTTTATTGGCCAAGGGAGCCGGCGTACAGCTTCCGGGTCATGTGGCCAGCATGACTAAGCCGCTTCTGGTGAGCCAGAGCAGCGCACGGAAACGCCGTTTACCTTCCTACCAGAGCGGTACCTATTTATCTACTTGCACTTTGATGTGCTTTTGAACTGCTAGGTTGGCAGGAGCAGGGACCGAGTAACGGGAGCTCACCCCATCGCGGGGATTTGAAGCGCTGACCTTCTGATTGGCAAGTCCTAGGCTCTGTGGTTTAACCCACAGCGCCACCCGCGTCCCTATTAAGGAAGACTCCCAAACAATTTTCAAGTGGTCCATGCTGGGGAGGGAAGGAGTTTTGAGAACCGTTGCGACAGACAATTCTGCTTCACCTTGTGAGGAGTACTCACCTGGAACAAAGTGAAGACCATGTAGTACTTGAAGATGATGCAGCCGATGCTTCAGACATCACAGAGCTGGGCCAACTGAGCTCCAGAATGAAGCCCAATTTGCTAATGGTGACAGAGCTCTGTGGCCACAATGTAGAGAAAGTGTTGGGAAGTAGGGACTGTAAGGGAGTATACTGAAAGTGGGTGTGGCTGGCTGCAGATGCACATAGGAGCACATCATACTGCATTTTGTTCACGTCTCCCTAGTTTGGTTCTCTATCCATCACCCCCTTCATAAGCTGTGTAGTGCTAGAAGTTTGAATTGTCCTTTTTTTTTTACATACACATGTAAACATCTCAAAGTTGGTTCTTGTCAAGTTCTGAGAGGAAGTCTATGTGCCCCCTTGTATCTGATGGAGACAAAGAGCCTTCAATTTGGCTAGGATTCCCCGACTCCAACACCCCAGTCCTTTATTTGAAACAGAGAATGATCCTCTGGAGTCACCCTGAAAGTTATTCCCACTTACTGTTGGTTAAGCTAGAACTACACCGGTGGTGGGGAATCAGAACAGTATATCTGGAAAGGGCTCCAGGGATCTAGTCCATGGGTAGGCAAACTAAGGCCCGGGGGCCGCATCCGGCCCAATCGCCTTCTAAAGGCGGCCCATGGACGGTCTGGGAATCAGCGTGTTTTTACATGAGTAGAATGTGTCCTTTCATTCAAAATGCATCTCTGGGTTATTTGTGGGGCATAGGAATTCATTCATTTTCCCCCCAAAATATAGTCCGGCCCCCCACAAGGTCTGAGGGACAGTGGACCAGCCCCCTGCTGAAAAAGTTTGCTGACCCCTGCTCTAGTCCAACCCCCCTGCAATGTGGGAATAAGCTAGGGGTCCTCAGGGTTCTGAGAGTTGTTAGCAAACCCCTATTCTCTTTCTGGGAATATGAAAGAAAGAAGAGAAAAATACGCAGGTTTTTTCCACAGGAGCAAACCTTGCACAGGTTGCGGAATTTATTTTTCTTAGTGCAGAATTACAGTTGCTTTCAGCACACTGCATGCACACCCCTATCTGCAGGTTCCTTTCTGGGGAACAAGGAGACCAATAGGGGCTTTCCCGAACTTAGTCTTACCCACTTTGTCACACCAATCCACTGTGTCACCCCCTCCCCTATCTGCAGGTTCCTTTCTGGGGAACAAGGAGACAAATAGGGGTTTCCCCAAACTTAGCCTTACCCATTTTGTCACACCAATCCCCTTTGTCACCCCTTCCCCTCCCCTTCCTTCCAAATGTCAGGCCTTGGATCTCATACCTGAGGCCAAAAAGCAAACGCAGGCAGGTTTGCTGAAGCTATCCCCTTCTGGCGACATATCTCAATCTCACAACAGCCACCTCCAGTGCTTCCTCCTTCTACAGTCCCAGCCTCTCATTTAATGGCTTTGATTACAGTCCACTCACAGCCAACAGGTCCAACTGCCTCAACCACAGAGCAGGCATCTAACGCTCTTGGAAGAACGCAATGGCTTGTCTGAACTTGTTCCTGAAATAAGACAGTCTGGGCGTGGCCCTCTGGCTGTGTCCTCTGCCCTTGGCTTCCTTGCTGTCCCCCTTGAACATGCCAATTCCACCTCGCGCTGATGGAGCACAGTTGTTGTTGGCGTTTCCAGTTCCTAGCTGGGCCAGGTCTTCCTCACAAGCCCCCGAGAGCTCCTTTAACTCTCTGGAAGCATCTGCTCGGAGGTACTGCCACGCCTTGCGGCCGTTGTGGTCCCGAAGGCTTGTATTGGCTCCGTAGGCTCCCACCAGCACTTTGATGACCATCTCATGGCCTTGGAGGGCGGCTAGGTGCAAAGGGGTTAGTCTGCCACTGGCTGAGGGCATGTTGACATCAAATGGGTAGCAATTCCTTTCCGCAAAAGAAATCACCTCAATCAAGTCTTCATGGCGGCCATGTTTGGCCAACCAGTGGAGGACAGAGAAGCCCGTCACAAAGTCTCTCCTGGAGAGCAGGCTGGGGTCCTTGGCCAGTAAGTTGAGGATGCTCTCTGCGTCTCCTTGGGCGACAGTCAACATCCACTCATGCTCCACTGGATCCAGAGCTAAGGACAAGTCATCAGTGTTCCCATCCATGAGAGGTTCCTGATCTGGTTGGGTGTCCAGCACAACGCTCTCCTGATGGGAAGCTGTCACCCACATAGGTTTGGCCTGGCTGCTTTGGAAGAGCTTATCCTTCAGTCCCTTCCTTCTCGTGCTACCATAACCCATTGATAGTCTGGCTGTGTCCACCCCCGTTGCCCAGTTCCCCGAACGCCTGCTTGACCTGTTCATGCTTCTGCTGAAGTTGGACAACAACTGTCCTCGTCGGAGAATTAAGCTTTCAGCCCGGCTGCTGGGCCTGGGAGACTGGCTGCCAACAGCAGTCTGCGGCCAAGCACGGGTGGCGTCTTCCTGTATGCATGGCTTAAAACCTGGAAGCACCTGTTGTCCCTCTTCCAAGCCATCTTCCCTTTGTTTTTCTGCCATGTCGTCTCCTCCAGAGTGCACCAATCCCCCAAAGTCCCTGGGTTTTTCCTGACTCTCCCGTTAAGTCACTGTCAGTTTCTGGAAGAGCCACATGTTCAATGTGTTGCTTTCCTGTGTAGATAAGAAGGAAGCTCCTCCTGAGGTCTCAGTGCTGCAGGGCTTCCTGATTCTGCATGCAAAGGGGAACAGAAACTTTAGTTGTGTTACAAAGGAGGAAGAAAACACTTATTGCGAAACTGACAACTGCAAGCAGCAACCATCTGGCCAGAGAAGGATAGGGTTCCACTGCAAATCTACACTGCCATTGTTAAGCAATGGTCTTTTAGGTTGTATGCATACCTGCAGCACAGAGAGATAGTTTGTTATGGGTACTGAAGGTTGATAGGAGACCTCTATTCCTACAATTTGTATAGTTAGCTGGGAAGAGGGATTGACTGTTAAACCACTCTGAGAACTGTACTTCTGTGAAGGAATTAAGTGAGTCACCTAACAACTTTCAGCACCTTAACAAACTACATTTCCCAGGATTCCTTGGGGGGGGGAGCATGACTATTTAAAGTGCCACTGCTTTAAATGTATAGTGCAGATTTCTATTGCTCCACTGTCGCCTCTACACAATAATATTTTTGAAACTCACAACAATGGTTGGCGGCAAGATTGGGTCATTTGAAGAAAAACAACCCAGCAGCATAGGAAGTTCTTCATTCATTAGAACCAACTAAAGTGTGACAGATTAGTGAGCAAAATTGCATGGAGTCCAGACTCCAGAACTCCTCTTTAGGCTGGTCTGTAAGACAAACAGGGGATAGAGGGGAGTTGTGCTGCAAACCCGCAGTTTGTATTAAGATAGAGTGCAGGAGGCACTGGGTGTACTTAATTAAGATTAGGACTTAATTAGATTAGACTGTGCTAAGTGCAAGACAAAGTGCAAAATTTATCACAGCCAGATCTAATTAACAGTGAAATCCAGTGCATGTCTTTTCAGAAGTAAGTCTCACTGAATGACCTTATTCAGAAGACCCTCTGAATAAGTGCGCATAGGAATGCAGCCTTTGTCAAAGTAAAGCTTTCTCTACTTCACATTTTTGAACTTTTCGTTCCATTTTGCTTTTTACTTTACAATATGTTCATGGGTGGGTGTGCATTTGCAGAGCATTCAATACTTGGTAGTGAAAATATCTCATATACTGTGCATTGTATAGATGAGTGCTTGCTGATATACACTGTGTCTTTTTAATGGAGCATAAAATAGACTCTGGTGGTTCTGGAGACCACTTTCAAGCATGCTAACAATGAGAACTATTTCTCCAATAAATGATCAGGGTGTTTAGAGACATAATTCTGAACTGAGTTAGGATGGCTCAGATTTTATTACGCCATTCCCTGGTGGGATGTGTGCTTATTCATCATATATAGAGTTATTTGAAATTTGACTGTTTCTGTAAGTCAAATGCCATGAAATATTGTCATACTGGTGAGACACTGTCATTGGCTCAATCTGCACTATACACTGAAAGCATTATCGTACCACTTTTAACACCCATGGATTTCCCCCGAAGAATGATGGAAAGTGTATATTCATTAAGGGCTATGGGAATGCGTAGGAGAGCCTCTATTCCCACTCGCAGAGCTAGAATTCCAGAGTGGTTCAATAATCAATTCCTCCTCTCAGGGAACTCTGGGGAATCTAAAACCTGTTTGTCAGAGACATACACAGGTTAAATATTCCGGAGCCAAAAAGAACAACACCCACTTCTTTTCCTCCAGAGATGAATTGAAGTTTCCTTTTGCTTGGTGTTGTTGAGACACATTTTGAGAGGTACACAGGCATACAATGTGAAACAAACATCTTTTTCAAGGGGTTGCCCAACGTTTTGGGCCCTGGGCACATCTACACCCCCCCCACACCCTCCCACCTATTCTATTGATTTCAGACCTAATTTCAGCAGAAGGAAATGACCTGGCAGCCCCAGCACCCTCGGGCATACACTTTGGCAAATTCTGGTCTGATTTTAAAATATTTTTTAAAATAGGCTTCTGACACTTCTTTCCCGATTGTCAAAAGTGTTAAATAAGCTCCGAAATGCAAACACTGTTGTCTCTCCGTTGTTCCACTGTAGTTTGGATAAACAGGGATTATTGATCTGTGACTTTTTTCCTCAGCCAACATAGCAACTTTCAGGGTTATTTTTCTGTTGGGGGGCATCAGAAAGATTCTGGAACTCAAGTCTCCATGCAAATGCTCTTTGTTTGGACAGCCCTTCTTATTTTAGCTGTCCTTGCAACAGCCCTGTAAAGTAGGCTGCTGTTCTTTTAAAGCAGCTCCTCCTAATCAGTAATAACTCACACAGACATAACTTTATGGTAGCTAAGAAAAGCAGCCCTTATAGCCTCCCACTTGTCTTACTCCTCCAACATAACATCCAAGAGACAGAACCAGATTGCCTGCTTTAATTGTTTCCATATTACAGCTAACTAAGCTGTAATATGTGGTTAAACTACTGAGCCTAGGGCTTGCTGATCAGAAGGTCGGTGGTTCGAATCCCCGCGACAGGGTGAGCTCCCGTTGCTCGGTCCCTGCTCCTGCCAACCTACTAGTTCAAAAGCACATCAAAGTGCAAGTAGATAAATAGGTACCACTCCGGTGGGAAGGTAAACGGCGTTTCCGTGCGCTGCTCTGGTTCGCCAGAAGCGGCTTAGTCATGCTGGCCACATGACCCGGAAGCTGTACGCCAGCTCCCTCGGCCAATAAAGAGAGATGAACGCCGCAACCTCAGAGTTGGCCACGACTGGACCTAATGGTCAGGGGTCCCTTTACCTTTTAAGCTCAAGTATACAGGGACGCGGACTTATAAAAAATATTGGGGGGGGCCGGGAAAGCTCATGAATAATAAATAAGCTCATGAATATGCAAATAAAGTGGCGCCGCCTCCTCGTGAGCGAATAGGGGAGAGCGTGCTGCGCCTATTAATCAGCTCCAAAGGAAATTGGGTGGAGCTTTTGCTCGGGAGGGAGGGCAGGAGGCATGCAGCCCGCCCCTCCCTGTGCATTTTGGGCTGGGGGAGGGGCGGCGATGGCGCTCTGCTGGAGGGGCGCCGGAGATTATTGGGGGGGCGGAGCCCCCCCAAACGAATTTTTGAGGGGGCTCGGGCCCCCTCAAGCCCCATGGAGTCGGCGCCTATGCAAGTATATTGGTTTGCCTATGGCTACTTATGTGTAAATGGCCTAAATTCAGACCTCTCGGCTTTCTCTTGCTGCACTGTGCTAATGCATAGTGACACATCAACAGTCCAAACAGAAGCTATTACGATTCAGTGGTGAAAGAAATGCTCCCTGCACCTGCTCAAGGGCACCATCCTTTGTTCTTATTTCATATGCTCTGGGTATGACCCCAACACACAAATTGAGCTTGAATGTCTTAGGTGTGGATTCAACATGCAGGCAGAGCAGTTTGCAATGTTCACCCATGTAATGAACATACAACATAATGCTTTTGATCCCCTCAAGCTGTTCATTTCTACCTAGGAATGTTGTGACTGCAGGATAAAAAGTGGGAGAAAGCCATGCGTTAAACTGAATCTACTGTACTTCTGAAGTAGGAATTACACGTGGATGAATTGATATGTAGCATTTATATTAATAGTAGTTATCCTTGTGTTCAAAATGCTTGGCAACCCTTATCAGAGGCGAACTTGGGTAATATGGCACCATGAGCGAGGACAAAATCCAATCCACACACACACCCCACACCACTGCGCACTCAGGGTGCATGAGCCAGCTCGTCTCCACCGTTGACCCTCGATTCTGGAAGCGCCCGCAGGATTGTGACCTGGCTGCAGCTTCCCCCTCCCACAAGTGCCACCTGCGCCTCGTCCGGGAAAGCGAATCTCCTGTCTGCAGCAGGGACCGGGGGAGGTGAGGGCAGGAGGAGGAAGCAAAGACGCCCGCAGCTGCAGCAGCTCCGACCATGAGGATGCCTCCCCCGCAGGTAGATCTCGGGGCACGCACGCACGCACCTCCTCGGCTCGTACCCACTTGCATACCCCGAATCGGCCTTATTATGACCCTTGTCAATAGTAGTAACATTTCCTAAAGACGGGAAACGATGGCTTTTCCCGAGTTTCTTTGGGGAATCCCAAGGGGAAACTTTCTGAAGTTCATACCCTGACGCGACCGTCTGTAAAACGAACTCTGAGACGCTGCCACGAAAGCCCTGACTTCAGCGTAGCGCGAGAATGATCCGGCGTCTTGCATGAAAAACCACCGTCTCATGTTCCACTTAGCCTTCGAACTACCTTCCCTGGGTGCTGACGTTTAGACACCTGTACACTTTCTTTTTGGGGCTTCTGAAAAAGAACCCCCCCTAGGAAGTCCTAGCTATTCCAGTAAAGGATGAGGAAGCAGTTTGGGAAGGGCGGGGAAGTTCCCAACGCTTTTCATTTTACCTTTTCCAAGCGTACCTGCAGGGTGGCGGGGGGCAGCGGCTCGGACCAGGTGCTCCCCAGGCCTTTCCCAGCTTGGAAGCCGCTGGGGCACCTTGCGGAGGCGCAGCCGCCCTCGGGGCTCCTCCTCCCCTTCTGAGCCTTGTGTTCCTTCCGCGTCTCAGCGCAGTCTCCAGCCAGCGCCTCTCCGGAGTTCCTTTGTGCAAAGTTTGCCATCGGTGAGTTTCGAAGCGCTGCAGAAAAGCAACAGCGTGACCTTTGCTCTCGACCTATTGGCTGGGATAGATTAAGCCGCCGCATGTGATGCTGGCTGCGTTCTTCCGCATGGCGAGAAACTTAAACAGCCAGCGATCTTTTATTCCGGGAGAAGCAAAAGGGTGGTGGTCTCCGGACGCAGCTGTACATCTCCCCTTCTGCGGAGTTGCAGAAGTCGGATTTAGGGCGGTGCGGATGGTTCTCCCGCACAGGGCGCCGCAAAATTGAACAGACCCATAACTGAGAAGATCCGTTTGGGGGCGCCAAATTTTGACTTCTCGCTGGAAACCAAAGATGACCAAAGCCTGCCCCTATCCAGGGACAACGGTCCCCAAATGGACTGGCACCTTAAAAACCGTTTAG